TTCCGGAGGCCATCTGGGAGTTAAACGAACTCTACTGAAGATCCGAGAACGGTTTTACTGGGTCCACTGTCGAAACGATGTCGAGGACTGGTGTCGCAAATGTACAAGTTGTGCGGCTGTAAAGGACCTCAGACTCGTAGTAGAGGTGCATTGAAGTTGTACAATGTTGGTGCACCATGGGAGAGAATAGCCATTGACGTGGCGGGGCCGTTTCCGGAGAGTGAAAGCGGTAACAAGTATTTCATGGTTGTGATGGATTACTTCACTAAGTGGCCAGAAGTCTTCGCCATTCCAAATCAAGAAGCTTCAACAGTTGCAGATAAACTAGTTCATGAAGTCTTCTGTCGTTTTGGAGTACCTTTAGAGATTCACAGCGATAAAGGAAGAAATTTTGAATCTCAAATATTCCAGGAAACTTTCCGAGTTATGGGTACTCATAAAACAAGAACGACTTCTTATCACCCGCAATCTGATGGAATGGTAGAACGATTTAATCAGACATTGGAGAGGTACCTAGCAAAAGTTGTAGACAATCGGCAACGAGATTGGGACAAGCACATACAACCGTTTTTATTGTCATATCGAAGCGCTGTTCACGAAAGTACAGCAGTGACACCAGCTTTCGCAAACTTTGGAAGAGAATTACGGCTGCCTGCAGACCTGATCACCGGGATACCACCTGATGCTCCACGTAGTATAACCGATTATGCAAATGACTTGCGGAACAAAATGAATGACATTTATGAGCACGTCAGACAATCGGGCCAGCAAATGTCTGAAAAGATGAAAACCCGGTACGACCGCAAAATGAACAACAAAGGGTTTGACGAAGGTTCACTAGTGTGGTTGCACAATCCAGTCCGCAGCAAAGGGAAATCTCCTAAGCTTCAAGCTAAATGGGACGGCTCGTACCGGATTGTGACCAGAATCAACGATGTAACCTACCGGATACAGAAAGGCGTAAGAGGGACTCCTAAGATCGTCCATGTGGATCGCCTGGCGCGTTATTATGGGGCCGATAATGCTCGGGACGAGCATGTCTTAGGAGGAGGCAGTGTTACGCGCCTTAGTCGACGGCACTAGTGCCATCTAGTATCGAACTGAAGAACTAAGCTTCTAGAAGTTGAAACTCGAACTTTCGGTACCTTGCGCGTGTTTACTTGAATATTCTGGATATTTCAGTGCTAATTTATATTTATAGGCGCGCTGCAAGATGCGATCGGGGAAGTATTGAAGTTGGCGAGACAAGCGAAGCTTCGGAGCGGAATAAAGTGAATCAGTGTGATTAATTATTAGTGTTTTTTAACTTTAATTAGTGTAAAGTGAATTAAAGTGTTAATTTAGGAAATTCTATCGGCAATTTTAATTGTCACGAACCTCAAGCTCGTAACAATATGTATATATAAAATATGTGTGACTGAAAATAATAAATTAATTATATGTTCGTTTGTTGCAAATATTTGAGTTTTAATACGTTGTTTGTCTATACTAATGTGTTCGCCTATTTTTTTTGTATAGCTTATATTTTATACTTGGTAGAGCCACGCTGCAGCTATATTATGGTTGCAGCACGAATGAGTCAGCTCGACCGGGGAAGGACCACGCTCTCACAGAATACCAGCGTAAATTACCAGCTTAATACTGCTGTGCTTCGTATGGTGAGTGTAGAAATCCGGAGACCCTTTTTTTACTGGAAACGAGGCATTCCATCTTAGTCCTCAGGCGTGACAACGCATCTGCGTTTTGATTCTTAAGCGAAGATAAATGTAGATGTCTATGGGCCACAGCATCCACTTACCATTGGCGTACTGTGTGCCCCTCTGTGGTCGCTTATCACCCTTATTCTATAAAAATATTTTTATTTAATAACGGTAATCAAACTTTATCAGCTTATCACGTTAGTAGTTATTCCTTGTTTTTCAAAAGAAGCGATGATGATAATCAATTATTCTAGTTTGGTTTATAAAATTATACAGATTTTAAGTTTAAATAGCATACAGATTTAATACAGATTTTAGCAGTTTTTAATACAGATAAAAGGTTCAAGGCATCTGGCAACACTGTTGGACAGTACACTGTAGCTTGCTACATATTTATTTATCTATGGTACACTGCGTTGTATTTCCGAACATACCCAATACCCATTATTATTCCTGAAAACTTGGGCTTGGGCGGCTTGGGCTTGAATAAAATAATTCAATTTCAATTACATTGAAGCAATAAGAAACAGGAATGGCCTTTAGTGAAATTTGTAGAATTTGTTTAAGCGTAAATATACGCATGTGTATACTAAACAAGACTGGACTCCAACATTTGTATAAAGCATTGACGAACAGATTTGTAAGCATGGAGGTTTGTAAGTTTGATTTTACTTTAGTTTGTTTTTTTATTGCAAATTGTAGTTGCGGTAAATTGTTGTTATCGCTGGAGAAATACATTGTAACTTGCCTGATTTTTAATGCGATAGATCGGGGCTAGGCTGAGGTGCAGCGTTAAATAAAGAGTCAAATACAACCAGAATCTGAAAAACAATAATTAGCTTGGAATCCTGGGCCGATCATAATCAGTACTGTCATTGAAGTAATATCTACTACGTACTAAAAGTGACGTCGAGACGTAGTGTTTACAACGCGCGTTGGGACCTGCGGGCTTAAACTTACCGAGTCTGTTGCCTCCTTCCAAGCGACCCGCACTGCTGCATAGATTTGTTCACGGTGTCTGTTCTAGTACATGTTACTTCAATGAGTACTATTGTGAATTTCTTCCAAAGAATTAACATCCACCTTAGTTTGGTGTTTCATCCACTTATAGCAGTTCTATCAGACTTTTAAACCGGGAGATTAAGAATGTACAGAAATTCTCTCATATTTCTCATATTCCTATCAGACAGAAATCACATACTCATTACACATACATATTCAAAAGCTCTTTCTTAAATATAATAATTGCTTACCAAGTACTGCACCTGTTGAACAACTGTTTTTGTTTGGTGTAATGATTATGAGAGGCCACATATATGGAATATGAAAGAGCAACTCTTTGAACAAATACTAGTGTCAAAATCAATAAAATATGGTATTTTATTTAAAAAATCTATTTTGAATACATATTTTGCATTTTATATTTTTAAATAGGGTCGATGCGCCGGTAAGCCGGCCGGGTCTAGATTTCGGCCTTTAGCACGAGGTGATGTAGTAAATTTGATTTAATAACTATTATCGTACGAAATAAAGTTTAATGGATTTGTAAACTTTCCCCTTTTATGTTACTATAGTTGCACTATATCTGGTAGCATTAATTAATCAGGTAAACACAACACCCGATTTATAATAAATAGTTTAGTTCGACGCCAGCACAGAAGCTGTCAAAACGGGTAAGATCGAGCAAAAAAAATAGTGGCACGCGTTCCATTCAAAAGTAAGTTTCGTGCTGTATTTAATGCAATTACTTAATATTGTGCTTATATTTCACTGTATAAATAACCTAATACAGTTATTTGACACTGATTATTATTATTATAAGGCCGAAAAGTGACACATAAAATTGTCCCATTATTTGGTTGTCGGCCATGCGGCCGAAAAGTAGCCTGAGTTAAGCCTAAATACTTTTTCTCATTCGTTTATTTTGTTACGCACTATAATTCATCTTTCTTACTTATATTGAATCGTAGCATGCGTAGACACTAACTTTCAGTTTTCGGACACTAATTACTGCAATTTCAACAGTTAGTGACGAAACAAAAATACCCATTTTGGTCGTGGCCAAAACTGGATTGACTCTAAAATATTTATTTAGTTTTCGGCCAACTTAAAATTGTATGAAAGAATACGGCAGCGGAAAATAGAATGCTGTCTTAGTTTACATTTACGGCCATTTCATCAAATATTTTATTCACATAGCGTTTTAGGAAGAAGATTCATCAAGAATTTTTTTTGTTCAGATGGCTCCACCAAAGAAATATAATAAGTAAATGGCTTCAGAAAATGCGGACTTTATTAAATAGATCTCAATGCAGTGGATTCCTCAAATTGAGTCCAGCAAACCCTGGAAAGACTAATTGATGATAATTGAAAGAAAGAATAAATATTTCCAAAGAAATAACTAATGCAGACCTAGTTTCCACTAGAAAAGTTTAGAAACATTTTGAAACATTTTAAATCAACTTTGGCAGAAAAAACATAAAAGTTGCTATTATAATAGTGAATGAGATAAGGAAATTGAAACGAAAGTCTTCTCAGATCAATTTTGTACCACACATACAGGCCAACGAAGACTTGGAAATTCTCCAATTAAGCAATATAAGACCGCTAAGTCCATTTAAGTCTCCAGAAAGTCTGTGCAACACAGATCAAGATAAAAATATTCTAACTCATGATGTGGTAACTATTTATTCATCTACCGATGCATCAGAATCGTTAATCGATAACAAAATTTCAACATTGCATTTGTCAGGAAGTTATTTGGATATTGGTTCCTAAGTATTGTTATATGATGTTCTTGTAATCCAAACTCAAATAAGCTTACCAACGACAACAGTACTGACAATTCCTGAAATGATAATAGATTTTAGTAATGAAACAATAATGACTCAAATGACTACGATGATACCACTACAAACACCGACGATAACAAACAAGATCTCTGAAACTATAGAAAATGAGTGGGTTGATATTCCAACTAAACAGACTAGTACCCCTCTACAAGCATTGTAACAGTGGAACATTGGTTTCAGTACTATTAAATAAAGAATATAGAGATGCAATAGAAAAAACATTTAATTAAACCGTAACCCGTAAAAAAAATTTACTGCTTACAGTACACATGCACCTTCTATGGAGCAATTTCATCTGTGGTGTGGCGAAAATTTTATGAAGATAAGTGAAAGTTAAAATAGAGAAGTAAGAACTAAAATATTTAGAAAAAGAAAAAAATAGAAAAAGAAAAATTAAAGAGTGTTAAATAAAGTTCAAATACGAAAAATATCTAAATCCAAGAAATCTATGAAGGAGAAAAGGGTAAGAGTAAATTGCACTTTGTGTCATAATATTTTAATAAATGATACAGAAGAAGATCTGGATGTGATTGGATGTGGTGTGAAAAAATCAATTAAAATTAAACACGATAAAATCCGTAAAATCATTATATTGGATGTGACTTTTGCACCAAATGGATTTGAGATGTACTGATGGTTAGAGATGGTAACAGATTTTGTTGAATTAAAATACTTATGAGGAAGTACAAAATACTCGTAAATGAGAAGATTTGATTGCTATATTTCAAAGATTTTGTTATTAGATTATGATTCAAAGAAAAATGATTAATCATGGTTATTATTTTATATCAAAACCACTCCAAAATTAAAAAAATAACGTCACAGATAAAATAAAGCAAGCACCGATTGAAAAAATTAAATACACCGATTTAAAAATTAAATACACCGATTTCCCAAACCGTATTGCCATTTTCTGATTTTACAAAAATACTTTTAAGTTCGTACTATCTCTTCTAATACAGTGGCCGAAAACTAAAATTCTTGTGGGCCGAAATCTAAAATTTGGGGCCGAAAACTAGCGTTTTGTCTATTTTTCACATCAAAAATTATTATAAAAAATAGATTTGTTTTGTAGCATCAATGAGTTATAAAAATGAAAACTACATTATTTAAGCTACAAATTAACATTAATAGCACTAGGTCAACATAATCGCTATTGTTTTTTATTGTACCTTAAAATTGACAACTCCACTTAAAGGCCGAAAACCAGCGCATCTACCCTACTTTAATTGAAAAATAAACTAAGCATTTGCATTTTGAATTTAAATATGTTTAATGAACTATTTTGCATTGCTCTGGTTTGAAACTTTTAGTTGTTTTATTTTATTTTATCCAATCAGTTCTAAAATTGGTTAATGATTTGTGATAATATCACTTTTGATAGCAACTAGTTCCATACTTCAACCACTTTATGGTAATTTTGCGAGCTGGCTTTAGTCAATTTGAAGTGATGCCTCTAAGATGTGTGTTAATTGGGTACTGGAATAATAGTTTGTCAAATATTTCTAGATTATAGTGTCCATGTATTATGTTTTCGTCAAGTCTCCTCATTTTCTGTGATCTTTCAGAGTTGTAAGTTTTCAGACTTTCCTCATATGGTATGTTTTCAATGCTCTAGGAACTTTTGAATATCTGTGTTGAACCTCTCCAGCAACACTCTCAGTATTGTGTAATTTGGAATGCATATTCCAAAATAGGTTGAATATATGTTTTATATATTTTAAGAATCATTTTTGGTGTTATTATTATTTGCCATAGTTGCCACCCTAGACTAGGCGGGTTGGCAACTGCAATTTTTTTAATTATTCTGACCTGTTATGTGCAAAATGCTGCTGCCAATATCCTTATGAAATTAATTAATCTAATTGTTAGATGTCCAAATTTATGTGGAACTTAACTTATACTGCAGTTGATTTTTTATAGTTTGTGTCTCTGCCTGAAGGACATTGAGAGCCAGTGTATAGCAGTAGGCTGTGAAGCATTACATCTTAGTCCTCAGAGGTAACATCACATCTGTAGCCTTTGTTTGAAGTTTGTTTTAGGTGCTTATGTGCTGCGGCAGCCACTTACCATCAGGTGGATTGTAGGTTTATTTGTCACTTCAATCTTATAACAAAATGATGTTGAAGAAGAGAGTTGTGGTGGCAAATATATTTTATTACAAAACCGTACATTTAAGTAGTTTCCTATATTATATTTATGATGAATTTTCATATTTTCAGATGGATGAGGATGAGGAGCCCATAATCGTCTGTTTCATCTGTCATGCAAGACTCATTCGTTGCAGGAGATTGCAACAACAGGCTATTGAGTCAAATGCAGTTCTGGAGCAGTTGCTTGCAGGAGGGTCCATGGTATTATCTATTCCATCCATTAGTACCTACAAAAGTCTGTCAGAGACTGCTTCATATCAGCAATTTTGCCAAAAATCTCTTATTTAAAAAGAGTTTGGTTTCAGTCAATACCAAAACCTCATGCGGCTAGAGATGAGATTCAATTCACACAAATTAATCATATAGATATTTGGCCAGTTGAGTGTGATATAGAAAATGATTGTAATGACGACATTCTTAGCCTTGAATCTGTTAACTTTGAGGAAGAGAAAATCGAAAAAGAGAATTTCAAACTTGATGCAAACTGGAGTCATGAAACAGGTAAGATATACACGTTTTGTGATATTATTAAATTAGGGTACAATTTACATAATAGCAAGTGGTTATGTAGCCCATGTACACAAAATAAAGAGGGCTTGGTGTGCAATGTACTGATTTGCCTTTGCCTAAATTCAAAGTGCAATTAAAAAGTACTCATGGAGAAAGAAAATAACAAATTAAATAATTATTTAAAAGATAACCATACAAGGACATCATAATGAGCTTTGTTAGACATTTTCTTTCACTTATGTAATAATTTATAAATATTTTGATGTTGTATAAATACAGCCAGTATGTTTGTACACTAAGATGTATTCACTTCATAGGAATTAATGATATACTTACAACTGGTAAGCTACCACCTATCTTTACCAATTTCTAAACCCAGATGGACTCCTCCATCCTCCTGTTACCTATTTCTGTCATCAAATATGTGTGCCAGTCTGAAGAGTATGGAGTCAGTATAATCACAGGCTGTGGGGCATTGCATCTCAGTTGTCAGAGGTAGGCTTGTGAAAAAAAAATCGATTATTTATTTAATCGAAGTTTTCGATTTTTCGCAGCAGAGAATTAATGCTTGAAACATTCCCAATTTATACTTTATTGCAATCATTTTGTTCAAATTTTATGAAAAGCAATAAATATTAGTCTCCCATACAGTATTGTTGAAGGCGAAGGTTTTCGAAACTGATTAAGTTACTTGCACCCTTGTACAATATACCATGTCGGAAAACAGTGACAGACATAATAGACAGAAAATATGAAGAGAAAAAGGCTACAAAAATTGGATTCAGTAAACAATATATGTTTCACAATAGATGAGTGGGAAGACTTGCAGATGAGTAGCTTTTTTGGTGTAACTATCCACTTTGTTAAAAATTTTAAAGTACATAATTGCATTCTGCATTGCATGCGGATCTCTTACTGAAAACCACACAGCGGATTATTTTGCTAGTATTTAGTAAGAAAAGTTTGCAATGAATGGGAAATAAATGAGGATAGAATTGTTAGTGTCACTACAGATAATAGTGCCAATATCGTTAAAACTATAGAAATTGCATATGGAAGAGGAAAACATACAAGATGCATAGGCATAGCCCATAAGTTGAACCTGGTCATGGAAAATTCTATTTCTGCAATAGATTTAAAAAGCTTTCTAGAAAAAGTTCCTAGAATTGTGACTTGGTTTCATAAAAATGGTGTAGGTGCTGAAGAGTTGAGGAAAGCTCAGAAAGATTAAAATATTGCGGAAGGAAAAATAAAGCGTTTGTTAGGTGATATTTCCACTCGCTGGAATTCTCAACTACACATGATTGAAAGATTTGTCACATGATGAGTATTACTATCGGATCCATTTTAGTAAACCACCCTAATGCATGACGGATGCACAAAACAAACGAAATAATAGTATTGAAAGAGTTAATAAAAATACTAAAGCCCTTTGAAAAAGTTAGCCATGTAATGAGTAGTGAGAAATACGTCAATGGAAGTATGGTTATACCGATGATAAAATGTCTTCAAGAATATTTAAAAACAGTAAATCCGGTTCATGGATTGGCTATTGATTTGAAAAATTCGTTGTTGAATGAAATAAGAAAATGCTTCGAAAATATACATAAAGTTCTCCTTTTTTCAATGGCTACTTTTCTTGACCCGTGTTTAAAAAATAATTTGAATGATGCTTATGATATCTTTGGCAAGGACGATCAGCTTTATAAAAAGATATCTAATTAAGGATTTGCCGGAGGAAAGGGAAGTTGCTAAGCCATTGTCTTCAGTTGCATTCAATCATCGATGATGATTGTAAAATCTGGCTAGCTCACCAAAAGTTAAAAGCTGCTTCACATATCAGATTCGAATACGCCGTGATGTTGGATTTATATATCGCAGCGTCATTGGAACATTTAACAAAGGATCTTTATAGCGATAGTGGCCTAATGGCAGGGCGCGGACTGCGAACTCAAAAAGGTCGTGGGTTTGAATCAACCATTCGACTACTGGCGTGAACCATTCGTAACACAAGCTATTTAAGCTTACCACGAGTGGTTAAGGGGAATATTAGTAATGTTTATAGCATTGTTAATATTCTTTTATTAAAAAAAATAAAAAGTACCCCCTACATGTGTGGAAATTGTGTGCAGGAGTGTATCCAAAACTCAGAATTGGCCTGCAAGCACCTGGTCCATCTTCATCAGCTCCCGCAGAAAGGCATTTCAAGCAGAATATATTGTTAGAAAAAGTAGGAGTCATATTTTAGGGAAAAGATTATCACAGTTGTTATTTTACATTCTCTGCCAAGCCATCTGTGCTGATTGTCTTTTAATTTCTACTTTTTCCAAATCAGTTTTTAATAATAAAAAGAAAGTGATTTGTTTCATTCACTCAATTTACAAATAATCGTTTTTTTACAAAATAGGTTATTTTTTCTTAAAAAAAATCGATTAAATGAAAATCGATTTAAAGAGACAGACGAAAAAATCGATGCTGTAAAATCTATTTTTGATGCCTTTCCTCACATCCCTAGTCAGCGGTAACGGCGCATTGTAGCCTTTTATGTTTGAAGTTAACAAGTAAGACTACAGTACCCACTTACCTTCAGGTTGATCAGCTACATACCATAAGGTAGACTGTTAATTTGTTTATGACTTCATACTAAAAAATATATAAAGAAAAGGTGCTCAAGGTATCCTTGTATTTTTTATATAGAGGGGGCAAACGAGCATGCGGCTCACCTGATGTTAAGAGACTGACGCCGCCCATGATCAACCGCAACACCAGGGGAATTGCAGGTGCGTTGCCGGCCCTTTAGAAAGGAGTAAGCCCTTTCTTGAAGGTCCCCAGGTCGTATCGGTCCGGTAAAATCGCCGTTGGTAAACTATTCCACAGAGAGGTTGTACGCGGAAGAAAGCTCCTTTTGAAAGGTACAGTGGTGTGGTGGACCGCCAAGCATCAAGATGCTGTGGATGGTATCGGGACGTTTGCCGCGTAGTGCGTTCACGAATTTTGGCGGCTGGGATTAATCCGAACAATTCCTCAGAGCACTCTCCATGGTATATGTGAAAGAAAATGCAAAGAAATGCAACATCTCTTCGCAGTGCCTGTGAATCGAGCCGATCGGAAAGCACTCGGTCGTCGACGATTCTAGCCGCTCTGCGGTGGATGCGGTCAAGTGGAAGGAGCTGGTACTGGGGAGCCCCAGCCCAGAGATGGGAACAGTATTCCATGTGCGGCCGAACCGGTGCCTTGTAAAGTTGTAGGCGGTGTGCTGGCATGAAATACTGTCCCGCTCTGCTGAGCACGCCAAGCTTGTTAGAGGCCAATTTGGCCTTCTCTTCCAAGTGACCACGAACTGCACGTCACTCGATATGTCGACGCCGAGGATTCCGATACTGGCTAAGGCAACAAGGGGAGTGCCTTGATGCTGAGGAGATACGACAAAGGGGTTCTTGTTAGCGGTTAACGCGCAAACTTGTGTCTTCTGGGGGTTAAACTGGACTAGATTTAGTCGCCCCCAATCCGAGACTCTGGTCAGCAAAGACTCGACTTCAGACACAAGTTTGTCCCGCCACTCGAAGACGTTTCCCGAGAAATATTGGCTCGGCCGGTGTAAAAAGTATCACCAGTGCTGTCATCTGCATAGCAATGAATTTTACGGGCTTGCAACATATTGATATGCAGAAGAAACAGCGTTGACGATAGCACGCAGCCTTGTGGAACACCAGTATTAATCGGCTTGCAATCGAAGCTTGCACCGTCTACAACGACCTTGATGCTACGATCTGCAAGAAAGCTGGTGATCCAATCGCACAATTTCTCGGGAAGCGCATAGGAATGGAGCTTCGAAAGAAGCGCTTTGTGCCAAACCCGATCGAAGGCCTTCGCTATGTCCAAACTAACGGCCAATGCATCCCCCTTGGACTCTACTGCCTCCGCCCATCTGTGGGTTAGGTAGACCAGAAGATCACCAGCTGACCGACCACGGCGAAAACCGTATTGGCGGTCACTAATCAACTGGTGATTCTCAAGGTACCTCATGAGCTGGCAGTTTACAATGGACTCCATTGTTTTGGAGAACAAGGAGGTGATGGCGACAGGCCGGTAGTTGGACGGGTCTGAGCGGTCGCCTTTTTTAGGGATCGGGTGGACAAAAGCCGTCTTCCATGATTATGGGACTACGCCTAGGGAGTAGGAGTACCGGAAAAGACGCGTTAAAACCGGTGCCAACTCTGGAGCACACGTCGTCAGCACAATTGGGGGGATTCCGTCAGGCCCACTCGACTTGTGGATGTCCAGGGAGAGGAGTGCTTTGCGAACCGAGTGCTGTGTGAACCGAGCTGCGTGCACTTCCGGCATGGAGCACTCACACCATGGGATGGTCGGCGGCGTACTCCCCCCGTCGTCGAGAGTCGAGTTGGACGCAAAGAAAGAGCCTAGAAGATCGGCTTTCTCCTTTGCGGTATGGGCCAGTGAGTCGTCCTCCCTGTGCAGAGATGGAAGAGATGGCTGACAGAAATTCCCCTGGACAGCCTTGGCGAGAGACCACAATGCACGTGTTCCAGAAGGAAGGCGAACTAGTTTCTCGCCAATTCTGCCAATGTGCTCTGACTTTGCCTTGGCAATGACTCTTTTGAAGGACCTAGAGGTGGAATTATACTTCTTTTTTAGAGCGCTGGTGTTTACATCCCGGGACGCTGAAGGGTCACCCCAGGCTTGGTAGCACTCCTGCTTATAGCATGCTGTTTTACAGGAGCGACCAATCCATGGCTGAGATTTGCCTCCAATGAGCACCACAGAGGAAGGAAATAAAAAGTTCATTACCCTGAAGTACCACATCAGCGACAGAATCTGCAACAACGTTGGGATCGTCCGGCTAGAAGCAAACCTGCCCCCAAGGGTAGGATGCAAAGAAAGACCGCATCCCATCCCAATCGACTGACTTATAGTGCCAAACACGGCGGCAGCCTGCAGAATGCAACTGCGATTTCAGCGTGAGTGGCACCACACTCTGGACAAGCCAATGGTCCGAGGTGCCTAAAGGGGCGTCGACGGAAATCTGATATCCGTCCGGGTGAGAGGTCAGCAGAAGGTCCAACAGGGAAGGTGCATGATTCTCCACATCTGGAATCCGCATAGGCGAAGTAACCAGTTGTGTCAGACCATATGCTAAGGTAAAATCATGAACAGATCTCCCCCGCGTGATCGGTGAAACGTGAACCAAGCCATTCGTTGTGGTGGGCGTTAAAGTCGCCGAGGATCACGATCTCTGCGGAGGGGATCTGCTGTAGCAACAATCTGTAGCCATTTTGACGTGGTCGAAGAGTCGGCCTGTTTCGGCATTACCGCTATGGGACCTATAGAGGCACCCGTAGACGCGCGGATGGTCGTCGCTGTCTACGCGTAGCCAAAGGATGGACAGGTCCGAACCTTCAAGTCTGCCGAGGCGTCGAGAACAGATGTCCTCTCTGACGTAAACGCAAACTCCAGCCCGAGACACAAAGGAGTGTTCCAGTTTGTACCCCGGGTAGGAGAGATACGAGACATCAGCCGGAGAGGATACCTGCGTCTCGGTCAGAAAGAGCAGAGCCGGCCTCGCCGTCTCGAGATGGTAGTGGACGGCGTTTAGGTTAGAGTGAAGTACCCTGATATTGCAGAAATTCACGGATAGCGTGGCAGGGGTCGTCTTGGTCTTGTTGCCCCCCCCCCCCCCCCCCAGAATACGCGGGGCAGCCTGAGCACCCACGCTCAGAAGTGGAGAAACATGGTCGAGGGATTCTCCAGGGGTGCAGTGTCCTGGGGTAGTCTATCATCAACCCTTCACGTGTCCACTGCTGAACATAGACCTTCCCTAAGGAACACCACAAAGCACGGTCCTGAGCCACCTGCTTCCATCGACTTCCTGCATATCTTACCAGGTCGTCACTCCATCTAGTGGGGGACCACCCTACACTTCGTCTACTACAACTACTACTACAACAAGGCTGCCACAATTACGTCACGTTAGGAGAACCTTTCTTCTCCATCGGTTGTCAGTTCTTTGGACCATTGCCTCTTCAGGTTACACATAGCTTATAAAACATGCAGTATGGTAATGAAAGTGGGTGGCTCGGGCCCATAAGCTGTGTGATGGACTGTAATGATCTAGTCCCTTGGAAAGAATATCAGTTTTTATTTTATATATTGAGTCAGAATCTGTTTCATTCTAGATACTGCTGGAAATCAAGAAGACTTGGAGATTGATGCTTTTGAAGATCGACATGAGGATTCGGAGAACGGCTTGCCACTAATTTCATTAGGTACAAAGAGTAAAACAGATGATGTTGACATAGGTAAAAGAGTTTATTTTATAAAACCTGTATTAAACAATAAAAAGCAAATGCCACATTAGAAATTCCTCTTGCATCATGTATTTGGAGATGTGGTGTTATTAAGATAAAACAAGGAACCTGAAAGGGGATTCACTGATTTGTTGATGGGCTACTAATGTTTTAGAAATGTGTTGTAAGTACATCTGCTAATGATGGGATCCTGGGTTAGGCCAAACTCAGTTATTGGGTTTTGCTGTCAAAAAATTTTCAGTAGCAGCCCGGAGCCAAGAAATTGGCAATGTTTCAACCCCGCGCCTCGGAAAGCGCGTAAAGCCGTTGTTTCTACGTGTGATCTCTCTCCAACATGTTGGCAGTGTTTCAACCCCGCGCCTCGGAAAGCGCGTAAAGCCGTTGTTTCTACGTCTGATCTCTCTCCAGCAAGTTGGCAGTGTTTCAACCCCATGCATCGGAAAGCACGTAAAGCCGTTGTTTCTACGTTTGATCTCTCTACATTCGTGTTGGATTACCGTCCCATCAGTTTTAGAGTGAGTGGGAATAGAGAGTGTAAAAAAGATGACGGTGACATAGGTAAAAGAACATTATCTTATAAAGTTTGCAAGCCTTTGTTTGGCTTAATGTACATGATCTCATTTTATTAAATGCTTCTTCCATTCGTTTTTCGAGGCGTAGCATTATATGTGCCAATTTGTTTGATAACTTGTTGCGATCTTGTTGGTAGTGACATAATCCCGTTGCTGTAGAAATTTTGGGATTTTTGATGAAAACAATGCGGCAAGTAAGTTGTACAGTCCCCTCTGGATGTTAACCTAACTATCCAAAGAATTCTAAAGAGACCAAAACAGGAGGTCAAAATCTGAGGAATTATTTTCTTGCAATATCCTGTGAGTTGCACTTTTGGGCACTCCAGTTCTTAATTTTATTGCACGCACTTGAAGTACTCGTCTTATTCGACAGCTTCTAGCACAACGTTTTTCTTAACCTGGTAGAGCCATGCTTTTTTTTTATAGAAGAAGGGGCAAACGAGCATGCGGCTCACCTGATGTTAAGTGACTACCGCCGCCCATGATCATACCGGCAACGCACCGGCCCTTTAGAAAGGAGTAAGCTCTTTTCTTGAAGGTCCCCAGGTCGTATCGGTCCGGAAAAATCGCCGGTGGTAAACTATTCCACAGAGAGGTTGTACGTGGAAGAAAACTCCTAGTGAAACGTACAGTGGTGGACCGCCAAGCATCCAGATGGTGTGGATGGTATCGGGACGTTTGCCGTGTAGTGCTTTCACGAAATTTGGCGGCTGGGATTAATCCGAACAATTCCTCAGAGCACTCCCCCGTGATAGATGCGATAAAATACGCAAAGAGATGCAACATCTCTTCGCAGCGCCAGTGAATCGAGCCGATCGGAAAGCACTCGGTCGTCGACGATTCGAGCCGCTCTGCGCTGGGTGCGGTCAAGTGGAAGGAGCTGGTATTGGGGAGGCCCAGCCCAGAGATGGGAACAGTATTCCATGTGCGGCCGAACCTGCACCTTGTAAAGTTGCAGGCGGTGTGCCGGCATGAAATACTGTCCCGCTCTGCTGAGCATGCCAAGCTTTTTAGAGGCCAATTTGACCTTCCCTTCCAAGTGACCACGAAACTGCACGTCACTCGATATGTCGACGCCGAGGATTCCGATACTGGCTGAGGCAACAAGGGGAGTGCCTTGAAACTAAGGGGATACGACAAAGGGTTCTTTTTAGCGGTTAACGCGTAAACTTGTGTCTTCTGGGGGTTAAACTGGACTAGATTTAGTCGTCCCCAATCCGAGACTCTGTTCAGCAAAGACTTGGCTTCAGACACAAGTTTGTCCCGGCACTCGGAGACGTTTTCCCGAGAAATATTGGCTCGGCCGGTGTAAAGAGCATCACCAGTGCTGTCATCTGCATAGCAATGAATGCTACGGGTTTGCAACATATCATTGATATGCAGAAGAAACAGCGTTGGCGATAGCACGCAGCCCTGTGGAACACCAGCATTAATAAGCTTGCAATCGGAGCTTGCACCGTCTACAACAACCTTGATGCTCCGATCTGCAAGAAAACTGGTGATTCAATCGCACAATTTCTCGGGAAGCCCATAGGAAGGGAGCTTCGAAAGAAGCGCTTTGTGCCAAACCCGATCGAAGGCCTTCGCAATGTCCAAACTAACGGCCAATGCCTCCCAAGAAGAAGAAAAGAAGGCCAAATTGGTCTCTAAAAAGCTTGGCGTGCTCAGCAGAGCGGGACAGTATTTCATGCCGGCACACCGCCTGCAACTTTACAAGGCGCAGGTTCGGCCGCTCATGGAATACTGTTCCCATCTCTGGGCTGGGGCTCCCCAGTACCAGCTCCTTCCACTTGACCGCATCCAGCGCAGAGCGGCTCGAATCGTCGACGACCGAGTGCTTTCCGATCGGCTCGATTCACTGGCGCTGCGAAGAGATGTTGCATCTCTTTGCGTATTTTATCGCATCTATCACGGGGAGTGCTCTGAGGAATTGTTCGGATTAATCCCAGCCGCCAAATTTCGTGAACGCACTACACGGCAAACGTCCCGATACCATCCACACCATCTGGATGCTTGGCGGTCCACCACTGTACGTTTCAAAAGGAGTTTTCTTCCGCGTACAACCTCTCTGTGGAATAATTTACCACCGGTGATTTTTCCGGACCGATACGACCTGGGGACCTTCAAGAAAAGAGCTTACTCCTTTCTAAAGGGCCGGCAACGCACCTGCAATTCCCCTGGTGTTGCGGTTGATCACGGGCGGCGGTAGTCACTTAACATCAGGTGAGCCACATGCTCGTTTGCCCCCTCTTCTATAAAAAAAAATAAAAAGAACCGGAGACCCATTTTAGTGGAAACGAGGCATTCTGTCTTAGGGTTACAGCTCATTAGAGCCACCCGGCACCCGACCCTCACCGCCTCGTCGCCAGGCGTCCACTCGTAGTCG